GGCTATAGATCTGCAATATTTCACTGGGTGACCAAAACGTCAGCAATTTCTACACTGTTGCGGTGTAGGGATCACCTTTCTAACTTGCAACCAATGACCCGCGACATAAACAGAGGGCGGGAGTTCACGGCTGTCGAAAGTTAATCGAGCCACATTGCAAGGGTAACGTCTCCGCCTGTGGGCAGGAAGGATATAAGTGTCTACTTTGAGGATTGGGAGATCTTGGAGTTCCAGCTGTTCAAGAATGTCATTGCCACATGACTGGAAATTCTGCTGGACTATGGTATGGGGCAGAATGACAGTACCACTACATAAATTGAGAGAAAGATGTTTTTCAATAGTGATAGGAGTAGTATCGATATGCGAAAGGAGAGAAAGATCATGAGCTTGGGTAGCATTCTGGACAGTGACGATGCACGTACCGCTCTTGAGAGCATGAAATGAAATATCTCTATCAACATGGCGCAGGAACGCTTTGCCAATACTATGGTCAGAAAGATAGGCAGAAGAAGAAGTCAGTCTTAAAGTAAAGAATTTAGTCCATTGTATAGTCCGAAACTGAGCGTGGAGAGGAAGTGCATGACGTGTCGGTCTTTTCCAAGTAGAATGGGAAGGTAATGAAGGGACATCATCAGGAGATTGTTGTTGGCCTTTAGGAGTAGGGCCAGAGTTGGTCCGTTGTGAAACGGGCTGGCAATTCGAAAATTGCCGTACCGTAGAGGGAGAGGCCGGAAGCATAGTCAAAGGAGAGCAGAGGTCAGACAAATCGAAGGAGTCAGTCGAAGCCCCGGTACCTGAAGCGGGTGAGGAAACAGCACCAGCAAGAGGTACAGGGGCATCAGGAGTGTCCGAAGAGTGGTCAAAAAACAAGGCAGGGTCAGAATGGGGTGCGGTATCAAGAAGGGGCCCGGGGGTAGTGGGTTCATGGATTGGGTTCTCCATGGTCAGGTTACTCCTTTGCTTTTTGTTTTTAAGAAAAAAAAGAAAAGAAAATAAAAATAAAAAAAAAGAATAAAAAAGGGAGGAGTGGGGAAGAATAGTTCCCAGGAGGAATGAAAGGGCAGGAAATCTCCCTCCGCACCCAAGAGGACCTCAGCACTGCTAGTAGCGCAGATGCAGCATGGAACCCGTGCCATACCCTACCCTTCATGCCAGTAAACCAGCAATCCGGGATAGCAACCTCACATCTGCCGAGCTACCTCGGTGGACAAAAGAGAGGGCGGCCGGATATCCACCACAAAGCATACTGCCTTTGGCCACCACCCCCAGAATCCAAAAGGTGGCTTCCAGAGATACACCCATCGCCCGAAAGACACTCAAAGCCACTCTCCGGGATACTGGAGAGGGATCGGGACATCCCCAGGTGATCCAGATTCCACGGCAAACTACGCCACCGCCAAGAACCTCAATGGAATGGGATGGACCCTGGTACCCTTTCCCCTACCTAGGAACCAGTGTGCCTGTGGGAAAAACCCCAAATGCCAAAAAGAGGAAGGGCAAAAGGGATGGGGAGGAGGAGGAGGAAAGGGAAAAGGGGAGGATGGGGAGGATGGGATAGGGAAGGGGGGGATTGGGGGGTAATTAGGTTCGGTCTGAGGAAGGAGACCAACAGGTCTAATTCCTCAGACCAAGAGCCTCTTCACCGCGGCAAGGAGCCCCCCTTGAAGAGGAGTGGTTCAGCAGCTGTGACAGGCATGATCGTCCTGCTCTAAAACTATTCTGGTTTGGGTTATGCCGGTTGTGCTGGTCTATGAAATTTGTAATCTGCCATCTCATCTCTCTAAGACTTTTATGATGTGAAAAGTTAGGACTACTGGTCTGTAATTTTTAGCTATTGCTCTACTACTTCCTGTATGTGAAGGGGCTATGTCTGCACTCTTTAAGGTCTCCGGTATTTCACCTAGATCTGGGATCTTTCTTCAAAGTATACCGACTTACGTAAAGCTTACGTAAAGCTTTTGATACAGTTGACCATGACTTGCTCCACGTAAAATTATCACACTATGGTATAAGAGGGCACTCCCTCAACTACCTCAAGTCATACCTCAGCAACAGAAGCCAATATGTGTACGCAAATGGGGCAAACTCTTCTGCACAACCAATTACAGTTGGTGTCCCACAGGGAAGTGTCCTTGGCCCTCTTCTCTTTCTCCTATACATAAATGACCTACCAAATGCTTCTCAATTACTCAAACTATTTGCTGATGACACAACATACGTCTTCTCCCACCCGAGCCCAGTCAAGCTAGCCAATACTGTAAATACCGAATTACAGAAAATATCTACCTGGATGAGTACTAACAAACTTACACTAAACATTGACAAAACCTACTTCATTCAGTTTGGTAACAGAGCTACAGATGTCCCTCTTAACATAATGATAAACGGATCACCTATCACAAAGCTAACAGAGGGAAAATTCTTAGGAATCCACCTTGATAATAGACTCAAATTTCATACACATATACAACAAATTTCTAAGAAAATTTCCAAGACTGTAGGCATACTATCGAAGATACGGTACTATGCTCCACAGTCAGCCCTCCTGGCCCTATATCACTCTCTTATTACCCCTATCTCACCTATGGAATTTGTGCATGGGGCTCAACAACAAGTAACCATCTCAGACCACTAATTACCCAACAAAAGGCTGCAGTTAGAATGATAACAAATTCTCACTACAGGCAGCACACTCCACCAATATTCAATACACTCAACCTACTCACCATACAAAACATCCATACTTATTACTGCACCTATTACATACATAGAACACTCAACTCTGATATTAACCCTCCCCTCAAACATCTCCTTGCCAACCTCAACAGAACACATGACCATAACACAAGGCACAGATCACTCTTTGATATTCCTCGTGTCCATCTCACGCTATGCAAAAACTCAATGCACATAAAAGGCCCTAAAATCTGGAATTCATTACCTGTTAATATAAAAGAAACACTACCTGTTTATAAATTCAAGTCTCTTCTCAAAGATCACTTACTCACCCAAAACCAAATAAATACTGAATAACTGAACCTTATAAATTGTATATCTTAAATGTTTCTCACAATTATATCACATAAATGTTAAACCTAAAACCCAATCTAACTTTATTATTTTTTAAATTCACTACCTAACAGAATACTCCATTCTACTGAATTTACAACAATGCATGCAACCATATGACCTGTCTTTGTAATACTCACTTGTGCTTTATAGTAATCAGTTTACATTAATGTTTTTCACTGATTTCATCATTGCTTAGTTAATCTTAAGTTAATTTTAAGCCAGCCCGTAATGCTATGCATAGTATAAGTGGCTTTGGCATGCTGCTCTTATCTGTATTTTTTTTTTGTACCTCTGTAAGTGTGCTCAAATTATAAATAAATAAATAAATAAATAAATAAATAAATAAATAGTGGTACTTTGCATTTCTTTATATATAGAGCATGCCATGAATCTGGTCCAGGTGCTAAGTGAGTGGGCATGTTGTCCATTTCTTTTTCAAAATCTATGGGATCTGTACTACAGCCTCTCCTCACTGAGCGACGTACTCGTTTACCGATGACTTGAACTTACAACGGGCTCTCTGACCAGCATGCATACCTAAATAATGTACGTATATTAGAGCTGCATACAGTACACTACTGTATAAACAATTAAAAATATACCAGAAATGTTATAAATGGTGCAAAGGTGACATTAAAACAATATCAAAGATGGGTGACACAAACCCACTACCATTATAGTATGCTCCTCATTTAAACAACAAACACAAACAAATTTTGTTTCTTTGCAAGGTTACATTGAGATTATGAAATTACAATGAGGTACAGTACAAAGAGAGCCACTATCATGCCTAGGCATTATGGGCAGACTTAATTTAATGGCTTACATACTACTTAATACTAAAGAAATTGATCATATTTTGTTTAAGCTGTACATCTTTTTTGTTTATAGTAGACAGTAATTTTACTCCAATTACAATAGTTTCACTAATGAATATTGAAATTAAATTATGGGAATATAACATTGTGAGTTGTTTAAAGTAGTTTACACTATGAGAACGCTACAACTGGGTGTAAGGCGGTATTGTTTTGGGTAGGTATTTATACTACAATGTGGTACAGTGGACCCCCGACCAACGAAGGCATCGTCTTATAAAAAATTCGCCTAATGAAGTGTTTGAGCATAAAAATTTTGCCCTGACCAATGACATTTGTCCCGAACCTGTCCGTCCAGCCTGAGTGCCTCAGCTCCCCTGCCGTCAGCTAGTGTGCCACTGTTTACAAGCCAGGGCGGATGGTTCCATGCATACATTTGATACATTTTGTATTATTCCATTGTTTTTAGGTCTTGTAACTGCTAAATAAGCCACCATGGGCCCAAAGAAAGCTTCTAGTGCCAACCTGTGGTAAAAAGGGTGAGAAATACTATCAAAATACTATTGTACCACGGTCAGCTGCTGCTGCTACTGCTGTACCACAGTCAGCTGCTGCTGCTGTACCACGGTCAGCTGCTGCTGTACCATGGCCAGCTGCTGCTGCTGCTGTACCACGGTCAGCTGCTGCTGCTGCTGTACCACGGTCAGCTGCTGCTGCTGCTGTACCATGGTCAGCTGCTGCTGCTGTACCACAGTCAGCTGCTGCTGCTGTACCACAGTCAGCTGCTGCTGCTGCTGCTGTACCACGGTCAGCTGCTGCTGCTACTGTACCACGGTCAGCTGCTGCTGCTGCTGTACCATGGTCGGCTGCTGCTGCTGTACCACGGTCAGCTGCTGCTGCTGTACCACCGTCAGCTGTACTCTTGAAGGTGTGGAGAGAGTGTTGTTGGTGTGGCTTAACCCTTTCAGGCTCGATGGGCCCTCTCCCAAACTTGTTCTCAGGGTCAAAAAATTTTCGAAAAAAAAATTATTTTTTTCTTATGAAATGATAGAGCATATTTTTGTGAGTATTACAGGCCCCCCCCCCCCCAATTTTTTTGTGATCAATACTTACCGAGATATGAAGACTGGAAGTTGACAAAGTGAGCTGCTTATGGCAACATCGCCGACTGCCAGTCATGCGGAAATAGTTCATTTTTTTCTATGTTTTTCTTTTATTTTTTCAAGTAACTTTAATGGCCTGTGAGACCAATATAAGCCATGTTTTGGATATATACACTCGTTGTATGCTACACATGGAGCAGGGAGAGTGAGGACCTAGTAGCAATCGGTGAAAAGACAGGGCCAGGAATTGAGTCTCGACCCCTGCAACCACAATTAGGCGAGTATGAATAGGTGAGTACACAATAACTGCACAAACATTGACAGGTGAACATTTTCACCTATTTTAGCCACATATTATTGCCTAGAAATACACCTACCATCCGGCTTACGACCGAGTTCGGTTCTGAGAAACCGGTCCTAAGTCGAAATGAACGTAAGTCGAACTTTACTACTGAATATCAACATAACATTTTTGTAATGACTTTATTTTATTGTTTTATTTTGGTATTTCCTGTTTTACTTTACTTTTTATGCTGTTAGTACTGTATTGTATACTGTAAGGTTTAGGATAAACACTGTGTACAACCCAAACACTTGTTTATTTCCCAGAAATTTGGTATAGAAAACACGGTCGTAAGTCAAGTCGTCATAAGTCGAGCAGGTCGTAAGTCAGATGATAGGTGTATATACTACACATACATAGTATTTATAGGTCCAAGCAATGTTTGGTGGGGAAGGGAGTGGAGTTTTTGTAAACAACATGGTTGCTGGCCGCTGGTGCTGGCCCCGCTACCAGTGGGTGTCTGGCCTGCGACGGCTGGGGCCC